TACAGAAAACAACAGCATCATGGTCACTCCTATAGATACCACCTAGATTCAACAAATGTTAACATTTGGGACAATGCCAGACTAACCTCTCATTACATACATGTCTTACAAAGAACACCTGACCTTGCTGAGGACTCACTTCCCCACCCATGCTGCAAAAACTTCCTCTCCAGTCCTTCATTCTCTCCTTTTCTGACTATTTCTTCTGGCTTGGAGGCCTTGCATTCCCTCCTTGCCATCACTGGGGATTTTCAGGGTCCAGGAATCTCCTGGCCAAAGCCATTCTGAGAATCCTGATTGCATTGGTGGAGTTGGTGTAAGGGTGGGGGGAGGAGAAAAAGGGAAACCAGATGGAAAGCAATGCTACTGGGAAGGCAGAGCTCCTAGGACAGAGGTGCAACAAACTCAGAATGAACTGTTCCCTAGAAACAACATTCAAAATGATTGCATAAGATTCAAGTGTGCTTTTGTGGCTAGTACATGGTTTCCTTACGAAAATGTGTTGAGGTCTAAGCCACCAGTTTACAATTGGATTTTGAGAAGTTAGTCTACATACAGTTGTGGATGGCCAGTATTATAATTATTTAGATTAGCACAAAAATTAACTGTCTTCTCTATCACACTTGTTTTCACTTGGCAAGACCATTATTACTTTGCAGGCAAATTTTTAAACAAAAATATCATTAAAGTTTCACAAGCATTTTCATTTTCCACTGTATAAATATCTCAATCCAATTTTTCCATTCTTATCTTTATTCCTGTAGCCTTGTACATACGTTCTTGTTACATACATCACTAAGGAGCTGTGGAATTAGGAAATCCATATCTAAAATACTTTTAGGATTTCACCCAGAATACATTTGGTTTTTACGATGCTTTCATCAAAAGACAGTTAATAGGAAACCCATTTCCTTTCGGTTCTATTACTTTTGATTTTATTCTTCTACCTTATGTTCATTTTGGGGTGCTTATTTATAATGCTAAGTATCAATTTTGTATAAACTTATTCAAGATTTCCATACATGGATTTACAGCTTAGCAATTGATTAGCATGAGATATACTACTCCTACAGCATAATCTAAATACAAAAATAATTTTTAAAAGTTTAAAGTACAGATGTGTGGAGCCAGGAATTTTAGTGGTGTGGCTTCAGATATATCTATTAATGAAAAATAATAAATACATGAATGAGGGAATAAACTAGAGGTATGGCTAAAGCAATGGTGAAATGGCTAGATGCTGAATCCTTTCCATCAACTGGAATTTCTTAATGAACTGCTCTTCTGGGCATAAATGAATCAAGAGTATTTCTTGGCTCCCTTGTGCTAGTTCCTGGTGTGCTGCTCCCAAGAATGCCCTGGCTGCCATTTTCACCTAGGGAGTCGCCAGGGAAAAGACCAGCTGCTCATATTTAGATTTTTGCAGCCATAACTCCCATATCCAGTTCTGGCTCCTTTCCCCCTATTTCCTCTACACTCAGAGAGAAGATGTCAAGTATATATGCCTTGCTCCAGTCTTCTATCAGACACCACCCTTGGCTCATGCCCTAGTTTGGTGCCATCTGCTTGGGGACATAGAGGGTAATAATAAGAGCTCCTACTTATTGAGTGCCTGCTGTGAGCTAAGTATTTACATATCTAATTTCACATTGTCACTTGATCCTGCAAGGACAGTATTAGATCCATTTTTATAGATCTAGAAAGTAAAGCTCAGAAAAGTTCAGAAAGCTCTCCAAGGTTTCTTGGATTTATATTTGAGCTTTTCCTCTTTGCCATCAGTGGAAGACACTTCTCTTTCCTCGGAAAAATATGTTAGCATTTTCTTTGACTGACTCTCCACTTTCCATAACAGCCCTCCCTGGAGAGCTGCTCTCCCACTCTCATCCCATGCTGGTGTCCTGAATTTCCCACAGTGATTTGGCCCTTACATTGAATTTTCTGGCTTCTTGTCTGTAAGACTCAACTGATATCTTAAAATATCTGATTAGTACTTAATAGTGTTGGCAGGTTAGAATCATATTTTAAAAAGGAAAGTATATTTAAGCACTTAACTTTCTGATTCACTCACTGAAAGTACATATTTTTTTTCCCATGTTATACAGAGAAACTGGACAATGAAATGACCACCTGTTAGCTGCTAATGATGTTCACATGCCTTTAAAAAAAGTAATTCTGGCTTTATCTGTCTACAATCTTGGCGACAAAACTCGTGGGAACATCAAGGGCACAGGAAGCCAAAGGCAGCAAACTGACAATAAAGTTTGTTCTTAGACTGCTAATAAGGAAGGAGACACTGTGACTCTCTAACTCCACATAATTATTTAATCTCAAGAGGGTGACATAAAACCGAATGCATGCTTTAAAAACTTAAGTTTGGGTGCTCAAATCTGGGACTGAGATCAGAGGGGTTTCACAGAGCGTATTTCCTACTTGAAAAAATATTTTAAAAAGCATCAAATATAAAATATGCCAATCACTATCTTAAATGCATAGCTAATTTGATATTGTGTGGGTGGGTCAATCATTATGCCTTTCAAATGAAAATGAATATGTAAATACCGAATGAACTTCATTCAAAGTATTAGATGGATATTAACTGTATCCTACGTTGCAAAAAATATACTAGTCCTAAAAAAGGCTTACAACTATAAATATCCACCAAAATACAGTAACGAAGCATTTTCTAAAATTAGGGCTAGCAGTAAAGATTAAATGACCCTTTTAGTTTAACAGTGAAATCAAAGTCCAAAGGCAACATCTGGTTTTAATTCTTTTGCTAATATGTTTTTGGGTCCCTATTTAAGTTTATTGATTTATATGGATCTCATCTTTAATGTAATATTTCCACCCAAGGCCAAGGTTGATATAAACTAAGTTTACCTTTTATTTGTTCACTTCACTATAGTGTGATGGTTAAAAGCACAGACTCTAATATCGGTTTGCTTGGGTTTGAAACTTGTCTCCATAACTTGTTTTTTGTACAGGTTGCTTTAATTTTCTGTGCCTCAGTTTCCTCATCTATAAAATAGGGTTAATAATGGTACCTATGTCATTGGGTTAGTAGAAGGATTAAGTAAATCAATATAAGACAAGCACTTAGAACAATGCCTGAATAGTAAGTACTCAGTATTTGCTATCATTACTTTTTAACTGCATAGAAAAAGGTGAATATGAGGTCATTATACAGTTAAATACATTTTGAAATGAATAGAATGAATCATATGTCTCTTTCCTTGTCTTTAGACAGGATCGAACTTAAGCCCAAAGTAGACAAATAACTGTCTTTCCCAGTTAAAAATAAATTCTAAAGAAAAGCGGCTGGTATTCTACCTGTAGGAATTTTTTTCCCCAGTATGGTCTGAAAACATTTCAAGTGACTATTGCTGAATACAAAATCCATTTACCTCAATGTTTCTCACACACACTTTTATAAACCTTTATTTTCTCCTGAGCTTTAGGCTTCAGAAATGTGCCAAGGTCTCCTCCAAACCAGCAATTATATCTGAGATTCCAGAGCTACTGCTCATTGCCTCATGCATCCTTTTATATCCACTACAAATGTTTATGTAGTTAACATTAATTATGTACTCACAGTTGAATTCTAATTCTAAAATCTTATGTCTGATCCCATATGAAGTCAAGAGGGACAATGAGTGACCAGGAATTCAAGAGAAATCTTCAAATGAGATAACTTCAAACTGTACCATCATATGGAAAACTTTTAAAAATGGCATTGTTTATCTTCCACAAATAATTTGGAAAGCATCATACAGTCCAAGACATTAACATTGATAATTTTAAGCTCTAAGTTAACACAACTGCTACCTAAATATGTACCTAACAGTTGTTGAAACTATGGTATGGTTCTTTGAATAATGACAGTTTTGAAAGGGTGCTCTTACTCAAAGTTGTCATGCTGTTTCTAGATTTGGGTTCCTAATAATTTAGATTTGGAAGATATAGTATCACATATAAATAGTTTCCCTCTTTCTTGTCATGTGGGTGAATGTACATGTACATTTATGTATAAATATGTATAATATTCTCTAATGCACACAAATATGTGTATCTACACATATGGTCATCTAGCATATTTACTCATATACATATGTAGATAAGGAGATATTCCATAATCAGCCTTTCTCTACTTACTGAGTTCTCCTTAAGTTCAAAAAGCTAGGATATAACTACACTGATCTTCGGTCAGAGGGAAATTGCAGAAAAAATGGTGATTCAGAAGATTCAGTGTAGGTAGACAGATGATGCAAGAAAGGTATTATAATTTACAAGACTTTGGGAAATTGTTTTTCTCTAATTCCAGAGATATCTACTTGTTCTTTTAGGAAGCTGAGACTCATGTCAACTCTGTGAGATATGCACGACATTTTTTCATAACTCCCTTTATTGAGGAATAATCAGAGTGAAGAAGGTTAAGAGATATGCTCAAGGTCACTATATAAGTGGACAGACTGGTCCTTTTCATTTCAAATTCATTTCTTTTAGAATATTAGAAATAGATGTGACCTTGGAGGACATCTAATCCACATTCCATATTTCTAAATCTTTCTGGTGGTCTAAAAGTGTAGAAAGTTGCATAGTCTGTTGGTTTATGTTGAGCCAACTATGCTGGTCACTCATATATCTTTTAATGTATGGAAATCAAATAGTCAGCTTACCAAGGTTTGGAGACACTTGACATTTCCCACTCTCAAAATCAATCACCAATCTGAACGCCATGGTTATTACTCAGAGATTCAGAGGTTTGCTGTAAGCAGAGACCATGACCTTGGAACAATTATTTTTTCAAAAGGCATTACCAACAATGACGCATGCAAAGCGCCCAGACTGCCCTCCAGTGCATGAATCCCTGGCCAGAAAATGGCTACGAATCTTCCATGAGTAGTATGAGTTTGGCTCAAATCTCATTTCAATGCATTTATATTTCATAAGCACTGCATTTAAACAGAGTTAAAATGAGCAAGTCAAAAGAAAATACTTACTTAAAGATTTCCTGTTCTCTGGTTTCTGTTCTTTTATATCACTATCATAGTGACTTAGTAGTTCAGTACTGGAGGATCTCTGAATTTTAAATAATTCCAGGTTTCTTGAAGGACTACTTGGATCCTTTGGCTGGAAATGACAATTAGATGGGATAATTTTACAAGGAAGAAAAAATGCACTGAATAGTTCTGTGATCTATTTTGCTGTTAAAGAGAAGTTTGAAATAAGATAATTATTTTGGAATAGGGCCCCTAAGCTAAGCTCAATTTTCAAATTTAATAATTATATATATATACACACACACACACACACACATATACATATATATATATATATATATATATATATAAAACTTACTAAATGCTGTGCATACCCCAAGCACTCCATGCATTAACTCAATCATCACAGTAATCCTATGAGGTAGGTATTATTATTATTATCCTTATTTTCCAGACAAGGAGACTGAAGCCAAAAGAGATAAGTAATTTGCCTAAGGCCACACAGCTAGTAAATGATAGAACCTGGATTCAAACTTTCAAATGCAGGAAGTTTGACTCCAGAGTCCACTCTTAATGACAACAGCAATCTGTGTGTGTGTGTGTGTGTGTGTGTGTGTGTGTGTGTGTGTGTGCATGAGTACTCACGTGTGCCTGGATAAGGGAACTATATTGATGATGGGGAAAAGTCAATTTGTTATTTTATTTTTGAAAGTTTTGATCCCAAAGTTATATAATGGAAGTGTGTGATTAAATCACAGTAAAATTACACAAAAATGTTGTAGTTTTTGTATACATTATTAAAAGCGCTCAAGAATATTTTCTTCTCAAGATTTTGCAAATATTAGTGTCCTAAAATAAGATGTTTGGTCGAGAAACAGTATAAAATGAGTAGTTTTAAATAATTTGACTCTTTTAAGAACATACTCTAAATATGTGAATTTAGGGTAATTTCATGAAGTTCTAGATACGTAGTTTTCATGAGAAGAACAATCTAGCTTAGCTGGAAGAACAATGAAAATCAATACAAAGGGTTATTGTTTACTGGTATTGTAACAGTGAGTATGGGCTTAAATACATTGATATTTATTTTTAAGAATATGTATTATAGATTGCATAAACTGAAAATGTAAAAATTCAGTAGTTATTAAGTTCTTGTGTGCTTTTTACAGCCTTCAGTGAATGAATGTCTGTGTTATTTCAGAAAAAAAATGAATGCACTGTGTTTTTGAAAGAGAAAAATCAAATGACATTTAGTTCCACAAATCCTCTCTACTGAAAATGGTTTTCGTGGACTATTTAAACTTAAAATAACTTACTAACTCTCAATTCATAGGATCTACTTAAATGCATGTGTGCTTATGCCTAAGCAATAGATTTAAATGACTACATTCTAATTCATAAAGGTAACAGCCAAAACAAATACATACCAATCTGTCAATTGCATTTTTGATAGCATTGAACCAATCCAATATGATGAAGTCAATATCTGACTGCAGAAGGAACTCATTTCCTGATACTGTTGTGATCTAAAAAAAAAAAAAAAAAAAAATGAGAGGTAAGCAAACCATATAAAATAAAATAGATCTCTTACATTAAAAAATATATACTTTTTTAAAAAACACACTTTAATACACTCAGATATTTTCTTGTATTCCAGTAATTGTCTTTCTGGAAACTGGGAGACTAGGATCATTTTGAACTGCTCTCTATAAACGATTTTTTCATGTCATAACAAATATATTATTGTTTTAATAATAGAACAATTAACTCAGAGTAGGCCTAAAGCTGAATTACTCCAACTCATGGAGAAAGCAAGCCAGGAAGTTCAGAATAATGCAGACAGTATCCACTTAAGTCAGAACCTCAGAAAAATGCACCCGGGTGTGTCAGAATTCATTCTGCACTTTTGGCTCTTTCCTGTTTGTCTCTTTCAAATCAAAGAGTATCTCTATATGGAGGGCACTAAAACAGATTATTTACCAAAGAGACTAATGCAGACTTTTCTGAAAGGTCATTCTAACAAATAACATTTGGCTATTTCTACTTTCCTATCATAAAGACCTATAGGAAAGCAATAAAGGACCAATTTCCTCACAAAGGGAGTACATTAGAATAAAAGTTCATTTACATATTTGAACCTCTCATGGAGAGTACTTATCAAATGAACATTCCTGTTCCAGACTCTTAGGGCTGTTAAGTAGTTGGCAATATTTAGCATGCAACTATACGTTTTTCATTGCAGGGAATCTTTTTCTCCCTGGAATTGTGAGAGAAGAATGTGGCCCTATAGAAAACAGAGCAATGCTCTTGATTTCACACATAAAGGACTACTTAGACAAGAATTTGATTAGAGTGGGTGTGGACACGCTCTTCGTATTAAGCTATCAATCTGAACTGTGAAGATTTTCCCTTTGTATTGTTGACTTTTTGTTTCAACAGGAAGATGAACATTTCCCAACTACTGTCACACATCAAGCAAAGCTTCAGAGGTTTAGAGGACTGACATTTCAAAATACTCAGTCAGGAGCTAGTCACCTCTTCTCAGCCTTACTTCCTCTAAATAGGAGGTAAATGCTGAAATGTGGCACAAGTTCAGAAAATCACAAATCATGCTACAAAATGTCTCTGTAATTCTATCATTAAAGTGACAATTATTACCCCAAATAGCTCACTCTGAAGGTTTCAGTGATTCTTATGGCAACATTTAATGACAATAATCCTGGAGTTTTAAAGCAATCTTTGATTACACACATACATATATATTCATTTGCATTGATTTTTAGAAAAAACTATTTAGAGATGCAACATTACTCAGTGCTGCAATGCAACCATTCTTGAGTGAGTTGGATTCCAACTTTTTACAATTGTAAGAAAAGGAACTATTCAAAGTACATTCAAATTATGAGAAGTGAAAGATTAGAAAATAAGAGGAATTTAATTATCCACACTAGCATTTGACAGATTACCAGGGCCTATCACCCTTTTTTTTTTTTTTTTTTCGGTACGTGGGCCTCTCACTGCTGTGGCCTTTCCCGTTGCGGAGCACAGGCTCCAGACGCGCAGGCTCAGCGGCCATGGCCCACGGGCACAGCCGCTCCGCGGCACGTGGGATCTTCCCGGACCGGGGCACGAACCCGTATCCCTTGCATCGGCAGGTGGACTCTCAACCACTGCGCCACCAGGGAAGCCCTATCACTCTTTTTTTTAAAGTAAAATTGCGTGCAAGATTCGGGATGGCTCAAAATAGCCTCCAAATAGTCCTCTGTTTTATGTATCTAGTAAAAGACAGTTAAGCTGATGTTTGCTTAATTATCTGAACACACTTACAATGGTCTTTACTTACATAAAGTTCCAAATATTTACTTTATAAAGTGCTGCCACAGAAATAGTCATCTAAAAATATAAGGTCACTTCTAACTAACGCAAGAAAACTAGTAATGGCCTTGACCTCTACCTTCATCCTAATCTGAAGGTAAATATTTTGATTAAGAATGTATTATATAATGTTACAATTTGTTAACATACACAGAGAAAAATCAATTAGCCCAAATGCAGTGTACAACCTATTTCTCTGCCATTATAAATAAACCATTATTAAAATTATAAAAAGGAACATTTTCAAAGTACCAGAAACAAACATATTCTGAGGGTTTAGGAAAGAGCCAGTATGGTTCAGTTTTCAGTCTAGTAAATTCAAACAGTGATAAAATGTAAGTACTTCAGCAGTGCATTTGCATTTTTGGTGCATGCTATGCAATGCAAAGGGGATCTTTACTCCTAACACAACCAAGAGCAAAATGTACTTTAAAAGTTTCTTTGTCCAAATATATTACTGCATTAATTGTACATAATCAGTGATTTATGAATTCATTTTGAGAAGCTGGATCAGAGAACTATGTGAATGCAATTCATTCAAAACATACTATCAGAAAGATACAGTTTACATCCTTTCCTTGGTCTTCCCACTAATCTTTCAAGTTACTAGGCAGTCTGGAGAAGTCTGCTACTGCTCTCTACAGTTTAAATGCATCCACTTCTTAATTACAGTCAGTAATTGACTGTTCTGCTCCATTCCAATCACTCACAGGAAAGCAGTTTCAAAGTCTTTGGCTGGCAAAACACATTTAATTCAGGTTTCTCAATCCACTTTTTTAACATTACCTCTTTAGGTTTTCTGATAAATGGTTTGCTGAATCATACTTGCACTTTGAACAATCAGATTTTCAACACTCTTAAAAAAAAAGATATCAGTAAATGTTAGCTTTGACTAAATGTTTGATTATCTCCTGATGACACTATAGAGTGATATAGAACTGATAACAGACATAAAAGATTTGATATTAAGCCAGGCTAATGTATTCTTTCTGTATCATGCTTTGTCTAACTGACAGATGCTGGAATAAGGTAGATGAAGGAAGAACTTCCAGAAAAGATGGGTTTAGGCAAGAGCTGTTGGTCTACACTTTGCTTCAAAGCCTACTTTAGACAAATACCTCTTGAAATCCCTTATCTCCACTAAGCTGTATTTTGAAGGGATATATCCTGGCACCAAAGCCGTCTCAATGAAATTTTCTGGTGTTGTCAAGAATAGATATATTTAAATACCTGTCAGGAAATTTGCCTGAAACTTTTTCTCGCTAAATAATGACCACCTGAATTCTTGCTGGTAATAAGTGTATGCCTAAGAAATTACATAAGCATATCCACTGGGCAACACGCAGAACAGACACATTCCTCAAGACTCTGGTGTTAATTGTGCAGTAGTTTCCCTGGGCTAGGGACATAACTTAGTCTGTGTCCTTGTTAGGGCTCCTCTGAAGATGAAAGCAGGTACGTCCCAACTCCAAACTTCACTGATTAGAGACAAGGAGAGAAGAAATTTGTTTTCTAACCTTTAATTAACAAATGGAGTATAGTTATGCTAATTTAAAGCTGCTTAAAGGACTTTTAATGAGTAGGGTTTATGTTTAAGTATTGCCCTTTTCAATATTGTCAATTAAGTACTGCTCTTGTCAAAATGCATTCTGGCGGTTAGTCTTTCCCCTGTTGGATGTTCATTTAAATGAGAAATTAATATGTAGGATGGTATTTATATTATTAACATTTTCCATACTTTGGTTTACCAGAATAGAAACAAAAAATTTTCAGAACATCACTTTTTTTTTTCCTGATTGTAAGACATTAAATTTACTGTGGAGAATTTAGAAAAACTAAAGATAATGAAAAAACAAATTAAAACTATTCATAGCTCCATAGAGGAAACATTATAGACATATTACTTTAGTTATTTTTCAGTCTTTTATAAATAATAACTAAATGTATGTGATAATGATCAATGAACAACTTTACATTATAGATACCTCATCAGTAAAACATATTTGATGGTTAAATATTGTCGGCTACTTCCATTCCAGTTGACCTCAAATGAATGTTGGGAGACTATCAAAGGTGCTAGAGTTAACAAGTGACATGTGTTCCCCTGTTTGATAGTAACAACTTACCTACTGCAGAATAAACCCCACACATAATTTTAGTTCAGGAGAATGAGAAGATGTATTTCTCACCGAACATCTCCCTAATCATCAATAAGGACTGATTAAACATCTATTAAGTGCAAGGCACATTGTTAGAAGCTAAGAATACACAACTCTCACCCTCAAGAGCTCACAATCTGTTTGGATAAATAGGACATATGAGTATAAGGATAAATAACAATAGAAAATGGCTTATACTAAGTCCCAATGTGAGTGGCACAGACAATGCTCATGTCAAGATTTCAGAGGAGGGAGTAATTACTGCAGACACATTTGTATCATGGAATTATATATAAACTATTGGTCATGATATGTTATTCTTTAAAGGTTGACTTTATCAGAACTTTAGTATATTAAGGATATGAATACTACCACTTGGCATGCAAAGTGATAACAGCTTTAATGATCTCAAAGCACATATTAAACATTCTTCAAATGCAGCTTTCTACCACTATCATAAAGTAATTTTGCAAATGAAGAAAATGAAGCAAATGAGGAAAATGAGAATGCCATTCTATCAAATTGGCATCACTTTAAATGACAGAATTAAGAGATTACAAAGATCTTGATTTCTAGTTCACTAGTTCTTAGCAAACAGTTGTATACAGTCAAGGACTCTGCATATGGGAAAAGGACCATGATGATTTGGTTTCAGTTGTGAAATTTGGAATATAGATCTTAGGCAAAAGTTGCTTGTTTCTTTACTGTTATGCTAAAGATAGCACAATTTTAAAAGATAACCAATATTGTTTCTCAGATGTTTTCCTTCTTTTTTTTTTCCCCTCAAAAACAGCTACTATCTTGCTACGAAAAAAAAAAATCTAAAACAGAATTGGAGCACCCAAAAAACTCTTTGAGATTCTAGAAAGAACTAAAACAATCCTATGTTTGAACTAAGTATCTTTCACATTTTGCTTAGGATCAAACTCTGACGATGAGCCTAAGGAGGGTTTATTCCATCTTAATAAAGTTGAAACTGTATATAGGAATTG